TTGAAATTCAAGCCCAGATGAAAACTGCACTCATAGAACTGACTTCGTGTACCGCTTATTTCTTGTCTATAGCCGCTAGTGCATTCTTCGAATCTTGCACTAAGCACATAGCATCAGCTGGATTCTGTTCAAGCTTGCACACGGCAGCACATTGTTCTTCTGCTTAAAAGCTTCAATTCAAATTGCTCAGCAAAAAATATTTTATTTTGAAATATTCGTCGTAGCAGTATTACAACTAGTGATGCAATGCTCAGAAATAAGCGGAAAAAAAAAAACTACAATGCTACAAAATAAATATCAATGGTAGTAAACCACAAATAAATATCAATGGTTTCTTGGTGAAATTTGGAGCAACGTGATCGTGTAGTGTATAAATCTGCCCTTCAACAACCCAATTCAAAAATTTTTATCTGTCCCAAACCTGTCAAATTGCCACTGCTGCGCTTGAAATGCTGGACATTCGCAGCCGTTTCAGTCTACTCTTGTGGAATTTGGAAAATGAACCAATCATCCAGTGAGTGGCTCTTCTTGCTGCTAGAGTGCTATTGTTTGAACTGCACAAGCACAGAGGCAGATTTCCGAAGCGAAACATCAAATTGGCTCTACTTCCTTTTTGAGCCTGTAGAACACCAGGTCCTTTTGCTTTATGTGTAGTGACTGCACTTGTCTACAGCAATATGGAAACTGCCAATCGCTCGTAAGCTCGAGGACCATTCGGTGAAAGAGGTGAAGGTGAGTTTCTTAATATTTCAGTTTTAGATTAAAATTAATCAGCACTTTGAATCTGGGCTTTTTAGCGCTAGATCTGAGCCCAAAAATCTTTTGTCCGTTTATGAGCAGGAGAGAGCAATACTGCTGCAAAAAAATGCATTTGTAAAATCACGTTTAAAATAATGGAAAATAAGGAATCTCCAAAAAATGCCTTTGTGAAAATATGTTTGAAGCAACGAAAAATAAGACACCTCAGTGGGAATTCACAGTTTACCAATAATTTCCGAAACAAAATTGCACGCTCGTTGGCCAGCTTCACGAGTTACCTCCAACACTTCTTCATGCTTCACCTCAACAGAAATATCCAGATCCGTGTTTGAACTGCAATTATTCCTGTTTTCCACATCAATTATAGTCTCAGCATAATTTCACTTCACCTCTCAGTAAAATTTCGTACAAAAAGGAAATTTTTTTTTCTGAGATATCTGTGAAACAAACAGGCCAAACAGGTACCTGTGGTTTATTTCTATGATTTTGAAAAAGACTTAAGAAAAAAAAAACAACATTCCGTTAAGTTTTTTGTGCAAAATCAGTTGCCATTTATGCACAAAGATCTACTAACTTATTCTATAGCAGTTTCCTGTGATTACCTAGCGGGGCATTTTTTACGCTCAGCGCATAGGAACGCACTGAAAAATCATTTTGCTGTGTGCTTGCTTTTTTATACATTTCCACATATCATGCAAAAACACATGTTGTTTAATATTTCCAAGTTTCGCACAAAATGAAATTTTCTCTTTTATTTTATGTGAGATCTTGAAAAGAGCTTTCGTTCTTTTTGGGTACTCATTTATTAAACTGCATGTAATGATAACTTTAGGCTGCCGGCAAATGGCAAAGTTGAAATTTTGGAAAGTTAGTTTCATGTCAGAAAAATTCATGTGGCCGCCTTCTATTGTAGCTTCTGATATCTTAGGGCCCAAAATTCGATGATAATGCAAAAGCATCGGATTTTAGGCACTAAGATATCGAAGCTACAGTAGAAGGAGACCACATGAATTCGTAGTATTAGCACTAATATTAGTCATAAATCCTACGAGTGACGCTATTATAAGCATAAGAAGCCACCTGTAGGAAAGCCTCGCATTTGGCGAAGGGGCATTAGCGCGCCTAGCACTCTTCGAAAGGATTACGAAGATGCGAAGTACAGCGAAGGCTAGGGTCACAAGCAAGCTAGCCCCTGGGCTTATTTTGTTTCGTTTTCAGTAACTGTGAAAGGCTGACAGTTACTCCGAAGAAAGTGATGAACAGACAGTTGCACAAAACAGCAGAATAATTCTTTTGCCGACAGTTCGAGAAATCGTGCGTCAGGACAAGCAAATGGATGATGCACCAGTAGCAAGTCATCATTTCATCTCTCCACCATAACAGTTCTGATGTAAGTTAGTCCGTGCTACCTAATGAGTTTGTTTTTAACAGTGCATTTTTTTCTGAATCGGAAAAGCCGTTCCGAGGGGTAAACGAACATTTTTGCCTAGTGATGCATCCAACTTAATTAGCCAGCCAATGCACGAAAACGGAAGCAATGCATGACTGGGATTACGACATCCATTTTGTATAATTTCTGTAAGCTGTTCAGAATGAAAGCAACGAACATATTTGTAATAACTGAAATGCCGAGAACCCGTATTTGGCATTGACACGCGACTATCACCTCGTGACACGTAGACATACCTAAAATGATTACTGCCCATAAATGGCCAAAAAAAAATCAAGACCGCCTAGGCACTGCCGCCCACCCATCAGTGATTGCATTTTTTT